CATTTGTAAAGTGTACACTGAATGAGATGTGGAATGTTAGAATTAAAGTATTAAATATGTTTTAAACTTATGTATGCTTATGCAGATAAATTTGAATTCAACTAGGGAAGGTAAATGTCATACTTATTGGGTTTGCAATCTAATGCAAGAGTATAAATATCCAAGACAAATTTGACAATTTTAATGAAGGGCATAAGTAACCCAAGAAGAATTGGACAGGTAAACATCACCTGTTGGGTTTTCTTCTAATGTTGGGATGTAATATCCAAGAAGAGTTGAACCAATGTCCAATACCTGTTGGGTTTTCTTTCTTATGAAAAAAAAAATTGAGTAACCCAAGAAGAATGTCCAATACCTTTTAGTTTATATACTATTGAAGGGATGAAGATATCCAAGAGGAATTGGACAGGTGTCCATTACATGTTGGGTAGTATTCTGATGAGGCGATTCTCAAGAAACCCAAGAATTAGACAAGTGTCCATTGCCTGTTGGGTGGGATGTAGATATCCAAGAGGAGTTGGACAGGTGTCCATTACCTGTTGGATGGTATTCTGATGAAACAATTCAAGAAACCCAAGAAGAATTGGACAAGTGTCCATTACCTGTTGGTTGAGATGTAGATATCCAAGAGGAGTTGGAAAGGTGTCCATTACCTGTTGGGTGGTATTGTGATGAAACAATTCAAGAAACCCAAGAAGAATTGGACAAGTGTCCATTACCTGTTCGGTGGGATGTAGATATCCAAGAGGAGTTGGACAGGTGTCCATTACCTGTTGGGTTGTATTTTGATGATGCAATTCAAGAAACCCCAAAATTAGACAAGTGTCCATTACCTGTTGGGTGGGATGTAGATATCCAAAAGGAGTTGGACAGATGTCCATTACCTGTTGGTTGGTATTGTGATGAAACAATTCAAGAAACCCAAGAAGAATTGGACAAGTGTCCATTACCTGTTGGGTGGGATGTAGATATCCAAGAGGAGTTGGACAGGTGTCCATTACCTGTTGGGTGGTATTGTGATGAAACAATTCAAGAAACCCAAGAAGAATTGGACAAGTGTCCATTACCTGTTGGGTGGGATGTAGATATCCAAGAGGAGTTGGACAGGTGTCCATTACCTGTTGGGTTGTATTTTGATGATGCAATTCAAGAAACCCCAAAATTAGACAAGTGTCCATTACCTGTTGGATGGGATGTAGATATCCAAGAGGAGTTGGACAGATGTCCATTACCTGTTGGGTGGTATTGTGATGAAACAATTCAAGAAACCCAAGAAGAATTGGACAAGTGTCCATTACCTGTTGGGTGGGATGTAGATATCCAAGAGGAGTTGGACAGGTGTCCATTACCTGTTGGGTTGTATATTGATGATGCAATTCAAGAAACCCAAGAATTAGACAAGTGTCCATTGCCTGTTGGGTGGGATGTAGATATCCAAGAGGAGTTGGACAGATGTCCATTACCTGTTGGGTGGTATTGTGATGAAACAATTCAAGAAACCCAAGAAGAATTGGACAAGTGTCCAATACCTGTTGGGTGGGATGTAGATATCCAAGAGGAGTTGGACAGGTGTCCATTACCTGTTGGGTTGCATTTTGATGAGGAGATTCAAGAAACCCAAATAGAATTGGACAATGTACACATGTTTAATTGTTCTTGGGTAGTTTTATCCCTTCGTCAAAATACAACCCAACAGGTATTGGACACCTGTACAATGCCTGTTGGATACCTTCATTCTGTCCAACATGTAATGGGCATTTGCTTATTATTAATTGGTCATGACTCAAAAAGGTTTCTCCTTAAATACTTAATTTTGTTATTCAAGAAAGGTTGAACAGAGTCTGAGATGTGTTGAGTTGTGTTTTCACAATTCAGTTTTTTTGCACTTAGGTATTCATATATTTTAATATTAGATATTTTGAAATATACAGGTGTATATCCTTATCGCTAAGAACAAACTAGTTAGGTGTTACAATAAAAGAGCTATATCACAGAAATTGACAAAAATATGGGTTCAAAACCAAAGGTTTTCAGTCTTATCTGAATTTACCAGCAAATATTAAATATACAATAAATTTGAAATGAATAAAAAACAATAAGAAAAAACCCAATAAAATACGGACACGAGGATTAATATCCAATAAGATTTGAACAGTAACTACCCAAATAATGCTCTCTCGTGTGTACACTTTTTTTGTATCCAATAAGCAGTATCCAATAGGACCTGGACTTGATGTACCCAATATATAACCAAATGTGTGTCCGTCCGTCCGTCCGTCCGTCCGTCCGTCTTTCTGTCTGTCTGTAACGCTTTCGTTTCCACACGATATCTCGAGAACCCTTTGATCTTTTGCAATGAAATTTAGCATAGCAACTCCCTATGGACTAAGGAAGACCCCTATTGATTTTGAGGTCAAAAGGTCAAAGGTCAAGGTCATAAATAAGCAAATTCTGTCTGTTAAAACACTTTCGTTTCCACACGATATCTCTAGAACCATTTGAGCTATTTTTGTTTTTTTAAATACTTTTTTTTTTTTACTAAATGATAGTATTCAGCATGTGAAATGAAAAATTTTTTAGGTTAAAAAATCATCATTACAGTGTGATAAAAATTCCAAATAAAAAAATCTTCTATACACATAATGAAGAATAAGCAATCAAATCTTTATATACATATTGACATACATGTATTTTATTTGCTTCAGTATACATGTATACATTTAATAATTCTACAAATTCAGTCAAGGGGAGCCGACTTTTTCCCTAAGCGGGGGACACGAATTCTCTGAATTAGCTTGTTTCTTTAGGAAATATTAAAAAAATCAAAAGTTTACATTGTATCTGCAAAAAGTTAAGATTCTCATTCATATTTTTTCCCAAAGTACATTTTTTAAATGGGTACATGGCGTACGCATTATTTGCAGTTCATTAATGAAATGTTAAAAAAATAATAAGATGAAAATAAATCTACTTCAAATGAAACAAAATATTCAAGTTATGTTTCTTTTAAATACAGTGTACTTAAAAGTTTTTAAGCATGTGCATTAAATAATTATTAAAATATTCAAAATCTAAACTTTATTCTCAGTTTATGGTCTTAGAGCCTGAATTCCTAAGAATAAAAAAAATGCGCAAAATTGTCACTTCATTGATAAAATTATCGCACAGAGCAAACATGATCGCCATTATTTTCCCTACCCTTCAAACTCAAATGAGTTCGCTTGAAAACCACATGTTTGTGTAAACAACCGATCATGTGACGTCAACCAAGAGTTAATACTCGGGTACGAATCGATGTTTCTGTTATTTGTTTACGCCAATCACAATTAATCTTTTTCTTACATTTACATGTAACGGGTATTCAAGGAAAAACGAGTTGTGGCCTTGTAACACTGATGCCCCCGTATGGTAACTTATGGCGAAGAGTAAAGTTTCTTCAATTTACATCAAACCCCAAGGTAAAGGTCAAGAGATAAAAATTAAATGACACATAAAGAAGAGTATTGTCAAAAAGAAAAAGTCATAAAAATTTTGGCCAAGGTTTAAGTTCAAATTCAAAAGAAATGAAGTTCAGCTGGACGGTCAAACTGATAAAATTAATGGCACCAAAAAGTATGCGAATTTAAAGGGCCTAGCACCAACTGTTAAAAATTTTCGGCCAAGGTCTAAGTTTTTCAAAAGTGGATCAAAGTCCAAGGTCATGGTCAAAGGGTTAAAAATAGTTGACGTACGCAAGGAAAAATCTTATCACAGGAATACGCATGTGAAGAATGAAAGGCCTACATGTAACTCCAATGGTTCAAAAGTTATGTCCAAGTTTAAAATGGATAGACTAGCGAGTCACACTCTAAGGTCAAGGTCAAATAAGTGATATTTGAAAGCCACATTAAAAGTTCAACCAATCAAAAAATTGGGTAATGTTAACGGTTTTGCGGACAAACAGACAGACAAACGGACAAAGCAGAACTATATCCTTCTTAGATTACAGTAGATTACAGAAGCATAAGAACACAAAAAGCAAAAATCAAAAAAAAAAAAACATATTGCAGGAATCATTTATCATATGACACATATTATGACAAATTGGAGGGAATTTACTATTCAAAGTGTTTTTCAAACAAGTTCAGGCAAGCAATAGGTAGAGTTATAACATCAAACATTTCTTCATTTCTTGTGACAAGGACTTTCTCTGAGTACCGATATTCTCGATCTCCTGAACTTGACCTTGGAGTATGACTTGCATTTTAGAAATTAACTTCAAAATGTAACAAAATAATGTCGTCATCTTTTCAAAATGAAATGGTCCTCCTTCAAGCCAAAAACTTCTATGTTTTTTTTAAGATATTCAACATATAAGCAAAAATTACTGAGCAAATTTCAATATTTATTTGAAAAAAAATAGGGCGAGACTATATACCAACACCATATATTCTTCTTGCATGTTTTATGATATAATGATGCCAGGTTGAAGTTGTGCATTGATTGTGTGTTTAACAATCATATAGAAGCTTAGCTGCAGTACTGTAGCTTTCCGAAAAAAAACTTATACTGATAGATTAGAGAGCTACAGTGCCACCCATTGAAAAACAAAACTGTATATTTCATGTATTTATTGCGCACAAAAAAGTGCGCTGTTGCTCGATTTATTTCTCCACGCTTTTAAAACTGTCATCTCAAAACATTACTAACCGCGTGTTCCTAGCATATTCTTTCACTTGTTCCACAACAAAACATTCCTTAGAATTGTTTTTAATACCCTTCCTAGCCTTGAAATTGAGATCATCGAAATTTTCGCCTATTTTAACCTTCTACTTAGTGTCTTAGCCAATCAAATGAAACCAACTGAAAGGTAATACGTGTACATGGAAATCACATGGGGATTTCTAGCTTGCATATATTGGTAAAAAATGAAAGATTATTATATGACATCTTGTTACAATTAGTAATATACCTGTGAAATATAAAAGCAAGTCAAAGTCAAATGTCACTATATCCCCGAATGTTCGATAAGAATGGATTTAAAAAACACCGGAATCATTACTAAGTATGTAATTTATATGTACATGTCATCAACTCAGCAATAACAAGTCACTAAAGTAAACAAAAGAACGTGACATTTGATATCACAATAGCTAACATTGACGACATGGCGGCTACTATGTCCCACGCCTTGCTGACGTCTTTCCACGTGATCAAGGATTTATCGTCACATTCCGGGCTACTCTTTAACGCCAAATCCATCTTGTCGTCACTGCTGTATTCACCTCCCGAGGTGCTCTTGAAAGCCAAATCCATCTTATCGTCACTTTCAGTTTTCTGTGAAACAGGTTGTAATTTATTCGAAATTCGCCTTTTACAAGTTAGGCACCGTGCACAGAGAATCAGATATTTAGGAATTCTGTGTTCTTCTTCTCGAAGATGAAACACAAGGCTGATCACCACACAGGTGTGGATAAAGATGCTGATGAAAAAGTCAACAAACAGTTTGTAGACAATGTTAGCAAGTCTTGGCAAAGTGGAATTAGGTAACTGGTCATTGATGATGGTCAGATAAACTGCTAGAGCCAAAATGACTGTGGTCGAGAACCCCACCCGCTCCCCCGACTCTGCTGGCAAGATAAACACTGTTAAATGCAGGACAGCGATACAGATCATTGGGAATACTATGTTATACATGTAGGGATCGGACTTCCGAGAGAAAGCAAATTCGGTGCGTAGAAGACGCCGTATGTCCACATCAAGTATTGTCAACTCCGCATTCTCGTCAATATCCCATAAGGAATTCTTCTGTGCACTACCCATTGTCAGAGAGCAGTTGGCGAAATCCACTTGACTTGCAGTGTAGCCCAAGAACAGGAAGTTCATCTCACAGCGCTGTTTGTCATAGGGAAAGTTTGTTATATCCACACTGCATGTACTCTCTAACAGCTCTAGGAAATTCCATCTTACAACTCCAGAGGGTGATACGGCCACTAAGAGTTTGTCGGAACCAAACCCGTGATAATTGGAATAAGCGTTCGTAAGAATAAGATAGGGAACCCAAATTGAACTTTGAGTGAAGTAAATCTCAGTTATCCCGTTATTTGTTCCAGGGTTCCAAGAAAGACGTTCGTCTTTCCACGTGATCATAAACGTTAACCTTGCGGCGAACAAACCAGTCCTCTCCGAGAAGTCGTGAAGGTTGATGAAGCTGATGCTGACGGTTATGTTAGTGGCCTGACTTTGATCCGCCCCTGGCCGTAGGTCCTTGTTATAGTTCTGCAACAGGGTAGAAGAAAGAGATGTTAGGTCAGACACGGAGTATGTCGTCACAATGACGAACAGACATGGAAAGCAACACAATCGTCTTATCATCGCCATGGCAAGTCGACAATTTTCTGCAAAAAAGAAGCAGAGCTTCACTAGAAATAACAAGTTTAAACGAAACATCGAAAGAACAAAATCAGGAATGAAGCCAGGCCTCTGGAAGAAGAGGGGATATCTAGAGTCCGTGGAGTTTACCCCTACTTTATAAATAGCTGCTTGCCATTTGTTGTACATGTATGTCATTTCCGGCTCTGAAGTCAGTTTTTAACCCAGTGCACTCCCCATCTCTTAATCTCAATGCATCGAGCAAGAAATTGAACAAGCATTTTGTTTATCATAATTATAAATTAATACGAATACGAGATAGAGGAAGAGAATTAATCTAGCATGCTCAGTTTTACACTGTATGTACACATATATCAAGGCGTTGCAATTATTTGGCATTTGATGTACTCGAGAGAGAAATTTAAGAAAATATTTTTTCTTGTTTAAAAACTCCTTGTATGATGATATTGAATCATGTCATTGTATGATAACATTTAATCATGTTATTGAATGATGATCTTGAATAATTTCATTGTATGATAATATTTAATCATGACATTGAATGATGATCTTGAATAATGTCATTGTATGATAATATTGAATCATGTCATTGTATCATGATATTCAATTATCACGTCATTGTATACGATGAAAAATCATTTTATCGTATTATGTTATTGAATCATTTCATTGTTTGATGATGCTATGTCATGTCATCGTATGATAATATTTAACCATGTCATCGTATGATAATATTTAACCATGTCATCGTATGATGATATTGAATTATGTCATTGTATGATAATATTTAATCATGTCATTATATGATGATATAGAATCATGTCATTGTACGATGATATGTAATCACATTGTATGATGATACTGAATCATGTCAATGTATGATGATATATAATCACGTCCTTGTTGGATGACACTTTAATCATGTCATTGTACAGTGACTATAAATACTTCTCATATCATGCACTGTATCATGATACTGTTAAACTGATGCCATTGTTCGATGATCGTATTTGTATGATGATACTTTGTATTCTTTGCATAAAACTACATTAGCATATATTTGACGAAGTATCAGCATGCATAAAAAATTGTATAAGACAATTAATTGAGGGTAATATGAATTGTTCGGTTTCGATCCAAAAATGAACTTAAGAAATTTAAGGGACATTTTTCATGTGTTTTAAGGGATTTTATTATTTTTTTTTAAATAGGGACTTGTATTTTTAACCTTCAGTCTTCTATCATTGCTCATTCTTGCCTCTTTAGAGAAAGCAAATTGTGAATTCCATTGAAATTAAAACAAAAACACTGTTAACCGGAACAATACCCTATCATTAAAGCGTACTTTCGTCAAGGACAAGGATTATACCCTCCGTGTTGCTCAATATACAGACCCGTCTTCTCGTTTGCGACGTTTTACTATCAACACATTTCATTACTTTTGTATTGTATATACTACTTTTGAAAATGGCAACGTTATTGCGCTAGAAAGTATATGTTTTACATTGTATTTTTATTTATCTGAGCTTTTTAAATTTAGAATTACACGTATGCACTTTTCGTTCCTTAATACGGAGTATTTAATTGTTCTAAATTCAGATTTTAAGTTTTGAAACAATAGGGCTAAAGATGTGGGATATTAATCCAAAAGTATTGTCACAATGCCATACTAAACGTTTTGGTGTGACATGACTTTTTGATTAACCCTCTTTTATAAGTTAGGTTTTCTCTCCTCGATCATTTTATTTCAGGAACCTTTTCATAGACATTAATTATGTAACATATATATTGTATACATCTTTTGAGTTTGTCATCTAGAAGTGGTATTTGATATTTTACTTCTTTTCAGAGCACTTGTTGGTAATTCTTTGTTGAACGGAAGTGTTACAACACATTTCTTTGAATATAATTATATGAGGGTTGATCCAAAATAATGTCATCATGCACTGTTATAAAATCGAGAAACGTCATAATAACGTCACTACATCCTGCAAGCGGTTGTCGAAACCCAACGTCAGATAATTTAATTTAATAAATAATTTTATCAAAATTGCCATTCTGAAATTTCAGATGTAATGCCCTACAGGTCAGTGGTCTTTTACAAGCCAAGTTTTCTCTATAAGTGGGGCTGTCCCCTCCCTTCCATTTGTTTCGTTTCTATCACAGAAAAAAATCACATTCAGTAATACTGTATGGTTATGAATTTATGACACAGTTTGTACCAAGGCAATCTAATTAAAATTAGATCTTTGATCCGCTCCAGTTTGATCGCTACGATCAAAGATCTAATTTTAATTAGATTCGTACCAAGGAGGAACATATCAATGTGCAGTATTGCCTCGTATAATTAATGTATGGTTTCGAGACGATTTCATGAATGTTTTAAATATTTATTGAAAGCAATTCTTTACATGATACGGGCATAAATTCCCCAAAATTATGTAATTTTTTCGAAACAAGGCTTTTTGATAAATAAAATTGAATTTGAAAGCCAGAAAAATTCAGAAGACAAATACTTTTTCTAAAACGTTTATGTTAAAAAAAAAACCAACCCACATGCCCCTCCTAAACACTCAACTGATGATGATGTTTTGGGGTGGGGTGGGAGAGAGTAGGGAATCCATACCTACGCCCAACAAGCATACAGTGTAAAATCAACATGACAGAGTACTTACCGGTGGATTGCAGTCCACGGAATTCACAATCTGCGGTGTACTTAACTTGATCAGTCGATCTTTTAAAGATTTTACATACACCAATAAACCGATTTAAAATGTCCAAGATCTTTTCAGTGCGCTAAAACAGCAAATATTCTTGTAAAAAATAACAGAAGAATTGAAGACCGGAGGTACACTTCTGTCAGATATAATGTCTAATGAAAATAGAGATTTTAATGAAGTGTTTGATTTTAATGAAGTGATTGCAGCACACAACGTAAGGATTAATTTTATAAATGGTTAACAAGATTATCCTCGCTCGTTCACCAAAATACTATTTACTAAAACTGAAATAAAGCCGGACTTGTGGCGTTTAATTTATTCAAAGTGCCAACATTTTTAAGAAGACTCTTAAACGAGGTATTACAATTCTCAAGAAGTGGACATACGTTTAAACAAATAACATGTCCATTTTTTAATGTGCAATTATGTTGATTGGTGAACTTTTATGTTTTACAGTGCAGTTGGATTTTCATGTTCAATTTTTGACGCTGTATTGTACTTTATTTGTTATATTTTTCAAACTTGCAGTAAATTACTTAAGTGGTAAACGTTCTTCCAGAATGGAAGCATGCAGAACATGACCATTGGCTTTAATGGTCACATAGGAACAAAAAGCGTTCAATGATGAAAAGAACTAACTCATTCCCTGCTGGAGAAAATAATCAGGACTGTAAGACTTTTACGTATATATTATTAGGTCCAAGATCTGCTCTTAGATGCTCTTGTTAGTTGATAGACCATTTTAAAAGATAATTTTAAAATGCTTTTCCGATGTACATGTATGATCAACTTGGCGCCCACGTTGGGTCACGAGCCTTGAGGACACATATTTTATAATTTATCTTTAATTCTCTATGTACAGCATATGAAGGTATTGTCACAAGACATAATTATGCACATATAGCTGTTTCTTTTAAAATCCTTTAAAAGGTTAAAAAAGGTAAATGAATTTTCAAAGCCACTTTAGTCAAATCCTAGGGCCTGAATACAGGCAAGGGATAAATTTCCCATTTTTATTCGAAGGCTATCTGCCCAAAAATTAGATTTATCAGTCATTTATACATTCTTGATATTTAAAGACCCCCAAAATACTTGGTAGTGTTCATATTTATAAAAGCCCATAATACAAAATGATGGTGGAAATGCGCATGCACCACAGAAGTTTGCTGTAAACACAATTACAAATTGTGTAACATACGCAACAGCATTTATTCGCGATTTTTGGTTTGAAATTAGGCTTATAATTTTTGTGACGAAAATTTTTTTTTACAGTTTATGGTTTGTACGAAGAAATATTCACAAAAAGTGACAATCCAGGCAGATATTTCTCCAAAGCGAAATAGGCTGGTTTACAGTACACATTGTATAGCTCTAGAGAAAACAATGTATATAATTATAGACTGGTATGTCTTTATTTAAATTTAATTTATTTTCCATCCAGCAAATGAAGATCTCCCAAATTCATCACTTAGGATGCCACCAGTACCTTGGTATGAAGAATGCGTTCTGATATAAACGTCATCACCCTGATTGACATGCGCAACTGCAGTTCCGGTTCCAATGTCGTCCCTGCTACTGGTTGGTATTGCTACTGCGTATGCACTGCCGTAAACATTATTATTAATGACAATTTCTGTTGAATGATACTCAGGAGTTGAGCCATATGCACCAACCCTTACTGTCCACGTGAAAACATAAAAACCAGACTCTGGTGCAATGAAAACACCAGAGCCAGGGTGATAACCTTGACGTTGATTGGTTTTCACGACGTCAAATTTGATTGTATGGTCAGGTCCTATGTTGATGTGAGCTGTTGATAAATATGCGTAGCAGGCAACGACATTGGCAGTAACATCAAGTGGCGGAGTTGTGGACATCCCAGTCAGCAATCTCTCTAGTTTGAAAGAAAAATGTAAATAAATGGTTATTTTATAGGCGAAGTGAGGCCCTAACTTTGCGAGTTAATCAAAAATATTTAAATGAAATATTATATACACTGTACTCAATAACCTGAAGTACGTAAGGAGCATATTTCTGCACGTACATACGAGGGGTGTTAGAAAAGTTCGCGGACAAGTTCTATTGTGAGCGCGCTTTTTCCACGAAACCGGTCAAACTTTTCAGATAAAATCTTAAACTATTTTCCAATAAATATACAAAAATTTCATGCTCTCCGGTGTTCATTGAAAAATATACAGCTGTTTTATTTCGATAAATCTTGCTTCACGGAGCATGCTACATTTTTGCACGTTTACATCACATACACTCTTTATCAAAATTAAAAATTGCACAATTATAGCGCAAAGAGATTTGAGATATTTTACCTGTCTCTTAAGAATTGATGAAACATCACTGGGAGAAAATTTGAATCAAATTGGAGGGTATATGACTGTTTTATAGCCATTTTAAAATGATCAACGCGTAAAAACACAGCCAAAAATCGGAACATCACTGAGCGTCATGGAGCACTGCACTATGTAAAAAATTATGTATGCAGACAGGAAAATGTCTAAAAAGAGATTAAAATGTGCAAGATGCTGCCGGAATTTCTTTCACACACAAAGGACAAAAGTTTTCAAATGGTTGTAGCATTATAAGAATGTAAGGATTGACATTTTGAATGATTAACTCCATCGATACTTCGATACCCCCTTATTGCATGGATGTTGTGCCTGTATGGTTTTGCATATAGTTTCCATACCTGATCGATAAACTGCAGAGCCTTTTTTTTCCCAAAGATCTCAATAATATCCGAATCAGTACAAAATACATTATAGTAGAAAAGTAACATGTCTTGATATAGATAATCAATTTTAGTAGAAAACAGATTGAATTTGAAAAATGAAAGATTTATAGAACTAGAGAAAGCTTAACGGGTTGAGATCTGGTTGTCACGTCGCCTTACGTAAAGTGATTGCTCCGTGAATCTCATGAGCTCATAGTAAAAATTGTTGTAAATTTTTAAAATTGTAGTAATGGACCTGAATTTTTACATACAATTAAACAAAATGTAGGAATTTATTCAGACATAGGTCATACTTCAAAGTACAAAATAGATTTTCTGTAATTTAATGTGTCCGCGAACTTTTCTAACAACCCTCGTATATCGAAAAATCAGTATTTAAAACCAATATCACAAATGTAATGCTCATCATGTAAAGCAATCTAGCAAGCATAACTAGCGCAACTTAGACAACACAGGTTCCCATTTTCTAAGCGAATATTATACTAGTATCATCCATTCCCTACCTTGTCGACCATATTTCTCATCTCGTTTATTCATGAAAATTTTCTTGCTTTCGACCCGGTTATGGTCGATATAAGTCTTTCCTGGTACATTCTTTGAACCATTATTTGAGAAAGAACTATTTGCTCTGTTGATTTGGATCTTAGAGGTGAAGCGGTTTGAAGACAGAGACCCCTTTTCGGTATTGTAACTATTGTTCCCGTCCGTCTTCCCTGGAATCACCTGACGAAGAAGAACTCTCTGGCTCCTAACGGTTTTAATCAGATCAGTTATTCGGTGGTCCTGAGTTCTTAATTTCGTCTCCAGACTACGCACTGCACCACGTAATTCTAACACTTCTTGATAAACATTTTCTAGTGAAAGTTCGCAACTTGTGAATCCACACAAAGTAACAACCACCAAAATAACGAGGAGTCTATTTCTACTCATCTTCACAAGGTTCTTCATTGCTATAACATACTTATCTGCGCAGTCTTGGTGTCTTGGTCACAGACTGAGCATTGATAACCTAATTTCTTCCCGTAGTCAGAACATATTTCTACTTTAAGAGAAGATATGGTCTTTGATTAAAACAAGAAGCGCAAGGGCCTTAATAATCACATGAGTATATCACTAGTTTCTCTGACTGTGGCCATTTTAGCTCAGACTGGAACTAGAACTCGTGTGACAAAAATTTTACTACTTTGTAAGAACTCTATCATCAAAGCATACACTATAGTATTCATGTAGCTTTTCTTGTTTGGCAGAATGGCTGATATAGGTGTCAATGTAAATAAAAAATATATTCATTTTTAAAACGCGTTCTTTACACCGAGATCGATGTCGAATGTTGTCTTGATTTAGTGAGTATAGCATGTTCTTTGCGAGGGGATGCTTTGCTGGATGTCCAGGAGTGGGGAGATTTTTAAAAAAAACGTTTTTAAAGGGCAAGATGCGACGAAAACGTAACGGGGATGGAAAAGCATGTGTTCTAACAACGCATTTTTGTGCTATTTTCATTTTGTTAGCTGCAATAAGTAGCGGGGTTTTCTCTTTCAAGGTCTCATTTATTGATTAAAATATTTCTTAGTAGTGTTTTTGTATAAAACTATGTAACCAATAAAGCTCCATCTGATTAATAAAGTGAAGAAAACTTTTCACATGTCTTTTCAATCGAATCCCCCCATCTACCCCAACATCACCGATTAAAAGGAAGAAAACTTTTTATTTTTCCTTTTAAAATGCCAATCATATTCCTTGGCCCCTTTGAAAAGCGATATAATGTGACTTCTTGTACACAAAAATATAGATCACAACACCTTTCCGCCCTTGGATTCTATGTCACGTGCTTCTCCGAAAATCGGCCGAGTATGCGCTGCGTGAACACTCCCCGGCAAACTTCGGATTATTGGCGCGGGAAGGAGAAAAGTGTAAACAATGGACACTCGTTGTGATAATGAAGTCTGGGTCAATAGAAGAGCAGTGTTGGTAAGCATGTCATGTCTGATGATACATTCCTGATCTGATAGTCTAACAAACATTTTAAGTCACAGCTGTGCAAATAAAATTCTTCATGATTAAAATTAACGTGTGACGAAATAAAAGACTTACAATTTCAGTGAGTGAAGTTGCTAACAGCTGATTCTATGATAATATTTTACACTGATTAGACCTAATAGCTCTGTATTCTGTCCTTTTGAAGTTGTCTGTTGATACAAGTAGTACAGTTATAAGGTAGCTATTTCACCATGATTTGCGTGATTAGACAAATCACTCGAGACAAAAAAATTGAAACAGGTTCTATCGATGAAATGATGAACAGCTGATGAAGGAAAACTGAAGAATATATATTAATATATACATTTGTGGTATCTCTCTATTATATAAACATACAGAGAGAAAATATCTTCAGTTCTGTATGAAGTTTGTCAGAGGTCAGAGGTCAATAAGTGACCTAATCACTCGGCGCAATAATATCTACCGGTACATAAATTATAAAATGACCAGCTCTAGGCCCCTACTTGCTTTTCATGTATAAAAATGATCAAAATAAGCAAGTAAAATGATAATTATTTTACTTAAAATGTAAACAAGTATTTCCTACAGTTTTTGGGCTATCGATTCAACCTGTGTACATAGAGAAAACTAGGAGTCTAGCGTTTGTTTACATTTTTTTCATTTTTGTCAGCTGCACAGTCTCTAACGTTCATCCTTACTTTTGGGGGTAGACCTTTGGTTAAATTTTAATGATAAACTTTTATTTTATCTTTAAATTTTACTCACGGAAAATGTGTAAATCTGTTGAAAAATATCATAATGATTGCAATCATGCCATGAACGCTGCCAAACACCTCGGCGTTTTCGTAGTTCAATGTAAAGCTGTCGCCAGTGTCTCCGTGTTTATCAGTGTTTTACGATAAGTATGCCTTTAGTTCCTGAAACCGTAGAATGTTTTTGATCAAATTGCAAATTAACTGGCTCGGACAAGTGTCTCAATCCATCGGATCCATCCATCCCTTTCCAGCGACCGAAATTTCTCCAACTTTTTATCATCAAACTTCGGACGTGTTTCTTGTGTCTTTTCAGCATCGATTATCATTTTTCACGAATAAAAATATTCCCAGACAACAATCTGTTCACTATTACTGATCACAAGTAGCCTTTCACAAAATATATTCTCTTCGAAACAGATTCCTTAGCCTAATGCATTCGAAGCGTAACCGCCATGCAAGCCGATTTACACATTGCGTCATTTTTCAAAATCTACGACGGACGGTTAGTGCAATAATTTAAATTCGAAAATATTCAATTGTCTGTCTCAAATGTATATATAAGTAATAAATAACAAGTTTATAAACTTCAATGGGAATTGAAGTGGGTTGGTACGTGATCAAATCTTCTGAAGGCCTTCACAGGATTTGATCACGTGACCGACCCACTTCAATTCCCATTGAAGTTTATAAACTTGTTATTTATTTCTTAAATGTGTTAATAAATGAAATAAGAAGTACATGTATATCAAGTTTTGTCTTAGGCCTACTTAACTTAAATTAAGATTTAAAGATCTTATTAACTAACTGTGTTTAACTGTCACTCCCCAGTACTTTTTTAGGTTGAGTTAAATTTAAAAACAATAATCACACTGAAAGATGTATATTACACTTTTACATGTATATATCCTTAGAAGAGCCACTCATAATTGAAAACTGATTCAGGGTAGAGTCAGATACCTATAAACTATTTCTATATACTTTATCCTGTTGGTTTATTTTAAGCCTTGACCTACTTATTTTGGGGTATATGGAAACCTGCTAGTGACATAAAATGATTGTAAACTGCATATTTTATGGTATTATAACCGTCTAAATTGTGCATCTACTATACTGATGTATAAGACGGAACTCCAAATATGCAGCTTTAACAGATTTATTAACAAAGGGGACAGGCTCCGCCATATAGTGGACGAGAGTGCTGTTCAGCGTGGCTGTCTTGGCAAAAGCCAGCCGATAACTGATAAATGTACAAAACAGCAAATTACATACAATTACATGATATTTACAATAGAGTTATTTATCATCGATTAATTAATTATTTGTATTGTCCAGAGATAAATGTTTATGCAAGTCTTTAACTCTGAAGTCCTTGACACCTGTTCAATTTAATCTGCCCAGAGGTGCTTAGATCATTGTCCTGGATTAACACTAATTTCCTTGGTCACAGTATCAATAATTTCTGTTTTTGGTCTTAGTCATAAGTTTTTTTTGTTAACTTCCAACAAAATGTCAGAATTCCTATGAATACCAATTGCATTCCATTATAAGCAGATTTATTTTTGTGTTCATATAATGCAGATTTATTAGGTCACCTGAGTCACTCAGGTGACCTATTGCTATCCGTTTTCGTCTGCCGTCGTGCGTCGTGTGTCATGTGTTAACATTTTAACATTTTCAGCTTCTTCTCTGAAACTACTGAACCAATTTCAACCAAATTTTGTATGCAGCATCTCTGGATGAAGGGAAACAAAATTTGTGAATTTTATTATCTTCGACCCCCTGGGGCCTTAGGGGTGGGGCCAAAACGACTAAAATTAATGCAATCTTTTAAAATCTTCTTCTTTACTCTTGTACATCAAGCAGTCAAACTGTTGGCATGAATTTAATGTGCATTGAGTCTTCTACCAAAATTTTGAAAGTCATGGCCCCAGGGTCAGGGGTTCTTAAGTGCTAGGGTGGGGCTATAGAGATTATACAGTGAAAATGCATTATTTCTTTGAAAATCTTCTTCACTGCTCATGGGTATTAAACAAACTAACTAAGTACATACATGTAGTTATGATGAGCAAGAATGCCTCTTCGGAAATTGTGAATTTTATGGCCCCAGGGTCGGGGGTTCTGGTGTTAGGGCGGGGCTCTATTGATTATATAGTGGAAATACATTAAATCTCTTCTCTGATCCTGGGTATTAAGGCCCAAAAAAAATAGTCTTGTTTCCTGCTACCCGACCTACCCTATTTTTTTGCACCCGACCCTAAAGTTTTTTTTAGCTTTTGGTGAAAAAATTCAAAATTTTAGGAATTTCATGTTTCAAAAGCGAAAAAAGTTATATATTCTCAAGTTGTATTTCATGAAGTATATGTTTAAAATATGGACTTTCATAAAATTCCACTTGAGTTGTGCATCCAAAGACATGGAATTTCATTTTGAAAGATGATATTGACCTTAGCTATCTAAGCTATGACATGTTCAATTTGGTTTTGTAGTAGTTCATATCCAAAAAAATAACGTTGGAAAAAAATAAAATAAAATTAAAAAATAAAATAATTTTCCTACCTACCTACCCTATTTTTTTCTGGATGGTAGCAGGAAACAAGACTATTATTTTTTTTGGCCTAAGTAGACTAACTATGCACATAGTTATGATGAGCAAGAAAGCCTCTTCCAAAATTGTGAATTTTATGGCCCCAGGGTCACGGGTTCTGGTGTTAGGGCGGGGCTCTATTGATTATATAGTGAAAACACATTAATTCTTGAGAAAATCTTCTTCTCTGTTTCCTGGGTATTATATAAACTAAGTTAAAGTACATAGTTATAATGAGCAAGAAAGCCTCATCCAGAATTGTGAATTTTTATCCCCCTAGGGTCAGGGGTTCTGGTGTTACGACGGGGCTTTATTGATTATATAGTGAAAATACATTAATTCTTTGAAAATCTTTTCTGCTCCTGGGTATTAAGCAGATAAACTACCAATATAGTTATGAAGAACAAGGGCTCTTCTTCTAGAATTGAGAATTTCAAGGCCCCTGGGTCAGGGGTACCATAGAGGGGGGGGGCTCTATTTATCTACTGAAAATGAATTGTTTGAAATTTGCTCCTTGGTATTAATCAAACATTTTTGATAAGCAAGGGTGCCTTTTCCAAAATTGTGAAATTTGTGGACCTACGGTCAGGGGTTCATGTGTGGTAGGGGCACTACTGATTATTGCTGAATATAAGCCAAAAATAAAAGTAGTCGTCTTTCCTGCTTAACGACCTACCCTATTTTTATTGCAGCCGACTAAAAAAGTTTTTTTTTAGTTTTTGGGGGTAAAATCAGAAGTTTTTGGAATTTCATGTTCCAAAACTGAAAAAATATATATTCAAGTGGTATTT